GCCTCGCCGCGCCGCCATGCAGGCCGGGCCGCCCCGCAGAGAAAGCCAGTCGCCTTGTCCTCCTCTCCCAAGCGCCCGCACCCCAGCAACGAAGGGAACGAGCCCCCAAAAACACTCGCCGACAAAACACGGGCGATACTAGGGGTGGCGTCGGCCTCGGCTTAAACTTCCCTCCTCCACCAATGGGCACGCGCGGCCCCGCCCATGTCCCTCGCAGAGCCAATCAGCGAGCAGCGGCGCCGTCAAACCTCCTCAGGGGCCAATCGGGGGGCGGGACGGCCGGGCCAATGAGACGGCAGCGCTTCATTTAAATGATGGCTCTGTCGCGCTCTCCGCGGGGGGGCCGCAAACCGACGCGTGGTCTTTGCGACACCTGGAAACCCGTTCCTTAGAGACGGCATCCGCCTTTTGGTTTTGCAAAGAGCTGGTGTCGAGGGGAAGCCCGGGGCGGCAGCAGCCTTTGCACCGGAGGTAGAGCCGCCCTTGCGGTTGCCAGGGGCAACCTCGGGCAAAACCCATCAGGAGGCTAATGTGGCCCCCGCCCAGGGTTATAGTCATTCATTGGGCTTTTTTTCTCGCGGTTTCCACGGCCGAACGGGAGAGAATGAAGACGATGAGATGTCTAGTTTGTGCGAACGGGCTTATTTCAGTGAGTGACCACAGCAGGGAGTCAGTGCGTTTACATGCCGGGTTTTTATTTATTATTGAATGTACTGGGGTGACATTGGTGACTAACATTATACAGGTCTCAAGTGCACAATTCTACAATATTGCATTGTGTCTTTCTATTGCATTGTGTGTTGGCTGGTTCTTAACTAGATAGAGATTTCTGGGAGCAAAAGTAGATGAAACCTGAGATTCACAATTAATTCACAACTGATGGCGTTGGCAGGCCGTCCCTGGACAGATAACTCCTTGGTTTTATCTAATAACATATGCATATATGCCCAGGGTGGTTTTAAGCCCCAACCCTGTTGGATGGAACCCATTAACCTGTATTTTACGGACGTGCACTAAGGCCAGCAAGAGGCAAAGCCAGGATATGTAACACAGGAGGCGTGGCCCTAATCTTGCCCTTACCCTACACCACACTGCCTCTATAGGCAGTAGGAAACTCTGTTTTTGTTTTATATTTTTGTTGATTTTAGAGAGGAAGGGAGAGGGAGAGAGAAACATCAGTGATGAAGAGAATCATGGATCGGCTGCCTCCTGCACGCCCCCCACTGGGGATCGAGCCTGCAACCTGGGGCATGTGCCCTTGACCGGGAATCCAACTGTGACCTCCTGGTTCATAGGTCGATGCTCAACCACTGAGCCACGCCAGCCGGGCGGAAACTTTAAAAATATGTACGGGTATGGGTATGGGTACACAAACGATGTCAGAAAAACATCCCTGGTTGAAAGGCAATGCGGAAGGTGAGACGGGAAATGACATTCACTGATACCCAATGGGGCCTCAAGTGGACCCGTTACCTTAACAATATTTAAACAAAACTGTTACAGAGGTGTTTTGACCCCGTTAAGACTGGTGTACAAGGAGAACACTACTACAGAGTTTTCTAAGCAAAAGTGTTAGCATGAATGATCATTCCAAAAACACTTCATTTACATTATGTCATACCGTGAATATCATCCTTCAGATTAACATTGCAAATACAAGCCTTCTTATGCCTCAGTCACTGAAAGGTTGGTTTCCGCTCCACGGTGTAGTTCATTTTGTTTACTAGTCATTGTTAGCATGTAAACGTATATTAGTTAGCCACTTAAAAACCATTAAATCATTTAATACATTTAATATGTAAAATATCGCAAAGTATCTGGCTGATGAGAAGAAATAAAATTGACGTCGATGTGCCCCAGAATGCTCGGTTTTCCATTTGTTCAGGGTCTTTGACTCACCCAGGCCTGCAGAGTGCTGAGTACCACATCCCCATGCCGAGAACCTGTTCAGTAAGACCTGGAGATGCTTTATGAAGACCCAAGAACTTTATTTTAAGTATCAAAATAACACAGAGAACTAGTTCAGCATACAACATCCTCCTCGTCACAGACATGGGGACTTTTCTACAAAGACACTGGTGCTTAAGAAACACGGGACGGCCAACGTATCCAGACAACTCGCCCGGGAACGTCATACACGGTCGACAAAACGACGCCTGTGGATATCTGAGGTTTCTCTCTGTAACTGCTCTGACACGTGTCCTTAAGGATTAAGACAAAACTTGGGACCTGAGACTGCAAACGCAGTTCGAAAGCATTTTCACTTTAATGAACGTGAGTCCCCTTCATCCTAACAGGTACTACACAGCGTGGAGCAGCTCAGTGCTCACCTCTGCACTCATCTGTTGGCCGCCACACTCATCAGCTGTCCTCCAGTTTCACCTGCAAGTCAAGCCCGACGGCTGGAAGGAATAAAAGTTTTGTAATTGCACCCCAGGGTGCTGTCCAACTTCACCGCAAGCAGGAATACCGAGCAAAGAGGAGAAATAACCATGAGAAGTGTACATGCTGTTTATTCAAGAAACGTTTTAGAATTTCCAAAAGTAATGCAAGCACTGACAATACTTAAGAATTTGGGGGGGGAAAAAAAGAGGTATGTCCATCTCTGTATAACCTCTATTCCGTGAATATAATCTTCATTTCTATTTATATAATGGCTACAGAGGCTAAATTTAGATTCTTTGGGAATTTTTCCAATAGTCATAGACTTAAAATCAATCAATACATAGCAAGTTGATGCGTGAAGAGTAAACAAAACGTAGGCTTTCTCTCTACCAAAATCTCTCATCTATCATACAAGCTAATCCTATTACTTTTGTCTTATTAAGGCTACTTCCAAAGGAGGTGCAGAGGGCATGCTAATATTCCAGCATAAAAGGACTGCGAAGAAGAAATAGTTTGGAAGGAAATAAAGAGGCCGATCCCCCTCAGGAAACCACTGCAGACTTTACCGAGAGGCAATGCAAAAGCAAGCGAAGGGCCTAAGACAGAGCTGTCCAATTTTCTAAACGGGTTAGAAAATGATTCTCACATTACCCATCATTCGCTCTAATAGCAGGTAACACTTGCCCATTACCCTATTTAAAGTCTTAGAAAAGCCACTGGCTTCTTGTACATTCTCATCATTTTAAATTTGGCACGGAATCTTCGAGTCACCCCAACACAACTTTCGAAGTCCTCCCTCTGCCCGATTTGATACGCTCAAGCTGTTCGCTGGTTGGCTGGGTTGTTCCTGCTCCTAAGGGAAAACTCATTCAAGCCATCACCACCTCTTGTTCAGTTTGAGGCAAACTGAACTCAGAAACCGCTCAGTAGAGAGCTGTGTGGTTATGTGACTGATTATTGTTAAAAAACTGAGGGAGGAGGAGACAGAGAGACAGACACACAACTCATTTTATTTTATTTGTTAGATTCCTCTAAGAAGCGTATAGAGCCAGGCCTGGGAGTGTCTTTGCAGTGACTATAAAGGCCAAAAGAGACATAAAAAAACAAACAACAAATATTCACAGAAGTACGCGAGTGCCTATTCCTTACGTAAACATAAAGCAACCTAGAAAAAAATTATAATAAAGTGCTGCCTGACCAGCAGGCCACACACACATAAGACCCATAACAACCACAAAAATCAAACCCCTTTGTTAGCCGGCACACGCTGGCCGGCGGAAGCAACTTGAAGCAACTACAACACAGGGGAAAGGCACGGAGCATTCCATCCAGACAAGACGGTCAAAGGGCCAGGGCACCAAGACTGATTTGTCCCCAGGGACACGGTCGAATGATCTGGAAGGAGGAAAACGCAAACTACCCAACATACCAGTTTAGCTGTGTCTTTACTTTGCTTGCAATTGTAGAATGGAAAACAACGCATGATATTTTACTAGCCCTCAACTAACGGTTTATAGTTACTCCGCTAAGATGCTTTGACACTTTAAAAGGTCAACCAAAAGTTATCAGTGGACCTAACATCGCCCAAAAGGAAGTCACTCAGTAAAGCACCAGGTTAAGCCCTATCTGGCTGCTCACTCTTCTCGTGGCGATAAATGACTCAATTACTTAAAAGGACGCCAAGACCACGACCTTCGGAGTTAGTTACATCTTGCTGGATGCAGAACCGACCCTAACCTTGCCTGGTATTTAGACTGCAAAAAAATAGGTGGAGTGTTTCATACAAAAATAACTTCAACTCGTCTTAAAAAAAAAATCTAAGGCAAATGATTTTAATAGTGTAGTGTAAAAAATAAGCTTACTGTGAGGCATTTAATAGTGTTCACTTAAGGTAACATTCTATGCATTAAACTGAGGAAAACAGCGTTCTTACTTGTGATTCATCTGTCAGTATGACTCTTTCCAGAGTACTTTCTTCTGTTCTTGTTTTTATACATATAAACACAAACACTTCATCTTAGTATTCAAACTAACCATTTTCATTTTTTTTTTTTAATCCATAAGCCTAGGACTTCAACTGTGCTTCTTTGGACAAATATTTATTCAGACAACGAAGAATTTAAATTCTTTTCAACTATTGCAATACCTACTAAAATCTTTGGTGCATTTAAGTAAAAACGGAGCAGGTTAACAAATCTCTACACTTTATAAATTATTCCACTTACATATTAAGTGCTAACTGCTATCAGCTAAAACATTAATTTAAAACAATAAATTATGCTCATAAGATAAAAAATTCTGAATGAGGCTAAGCTTAGTTGCAAAATTCAAAATTTAAGTACAGGTACAGAAGTAACGAGTTTTAGAGTTGATGGGACATTTGTCCCAGAAACTCCCAAATAGTACAAAAGGTTAAGTGAAAAGAGGAGGCCTCATTTCATATTTCTTGTGCCAACTTCAAAAACTATATACATTCAGTTTGCCCAAATCTACGAGGTTTTCACCAGTTTAGTGTTTCTTAGGCTCTAATTTGGAAATTAGAGGCAGCAGATTGGGATTGTTTGCTTGTTCGTCCGCTGAGACTCTCTCTTCGTCACCATCACCCTTCCCCGCCCAGCCTGCTGACGACGACGCGAGAACACGCGGTGCCTGGCACCTGGAAGGCAGGACTGATGCCCCGTGTCCTTCCCTAGAAGCCGGGACCTGCCACTCATCAATGATGGGGGCGTAACTGCGTCCTTCGCCTCAGACGCCCTCTCTCCAAACTGGGAAGACAGCACGTCCAACTCGCCCTCAGAGCTCGGTCTGAAGTTTACAGAAGATAACTTGCGAAAGCAATTTATAAACCTCTGTTCAGGCGTAGTGACCTACAATAACTAAATAGATTTGTATTTCATTTTACGGAAGAGATGCATTCCGGAAAAGTTGACTACTGTAAACCAATCCCTACCATCGAATCATGTATTTAAAGCATTAGGTGATGAAAAGAACCCTAAAGTAAATACCTTCAAAAAACAAAGTATTCTTTTCACTGTGAAAATGCAACACCCCTTCTGTCCTGCTACCAAACAGAATACACCCTGTACACACACGTCTAGACCATCTGCCTTTTTGCAAGTCCCAGTCTTCCACGCGGCTTATATTCGAGGCAGGGTACACTGCTGGCTATGATGATTTCTTTTCCTAAGAGGAACTTTTTTAGTTCAAAGCCGTGTTGTTCTTTATGTTAAAAATCCTCAGGATACGTATTTCTCAAAGTCGATCTGAAAGACTAACAGACTAACAGTACCTCACATTGTCAAGTTCAGCCACGTAAGTACCCAGATAGATTATCGTTTACACACAAGAGAATGTGCCAAACAGGAGAATTCATACATTAGTTACATCTACCGGTCCTGGAATGACTATAACCGAATCTTAACAACTGAGGCAAAACTCGGGCTGGTTTTCTTATTTACAAGAGCTACTTGGGGTAAGTAGCCTCAATGCTCACCACTTTTTCTCCTCTTCCCACTAGCACGACAAACTGTAAAGTACCTTCCTTTCCTAAGTGCTTCAGCAAACACCTGTCCCCATTAAGTGGCTAAATTTTATTAAAACTTCATTATTTTATTTGTGATTTTTTTTTTCTCACAAGGGCTGGGCCAGACATTAGTTTACATTAAAAAAAAAAAAGTGCTTAAAGCAATTAGTTGTGTAAACAAAACGGAAATAGCAAACTCTTAACATTGCTATTTTCCACCAGTTTACATACAAACGACAGGCTACGGGAATCGGCCCCGCCTATCTAACCCTCCCAGCAGCTCTCCTAGGAAACAGTGTCCTCGCTGAAGTTGAAGTTGACTTGAAGATACGGAAAGTGCACACCTTTAAAGGCATTTCACTGACTTTTTCCTCAGTTAGCTGTCATCAGTGAGGAGTCCCTGTAACTGCCATTTCCCTTCACCAAGTGCTCAACTTCTGTCTCAGACGACAACAAAAATCAAGGATAATTAGACTCCAGGCCTATGGGAAAAGCCAGCATAAACCTGGGTTCCATGTACACCTGTACACACACAGTGGTTCCCTGTAATTACTAGTAAACAACACTGAGTTTAGACAGACACACAGAGTATAATTTGGCACCTTTTCTAACAACGGTGTGTGGAACATCTCGGTCCTGTTTCCTAGAGTTTCAGTCGGCCAACGTCAGTGAGACCAAACGTCACCTGTTAATTACATTTCGTTAATTAGTGAGATGAAGATCTATGCTGTGATATGTTAATGGGAAATAAATGGCAGCTACGACAGGTGAACTGACCTTGAACGATACTATCACAGTTTGCTTTCTACACATTATCAATTGTGTAATTTAATGCCTAGATCTGTATTTGCATTTCTTATTCATATTAACTGAAGCATAGGCAAAAAACCAATCATTTGGATAATTATTTCCATTCTGCATTTCATTGAACACGCTACTCTGACACTCGTTACCTTTCTGGCTTTTTGTCAAAAGACCAAAGGAGAATGATAAACTAAAATTATCAGGTAACCAGGCTAAGAAACAACACAGATATACCCAAGACTTCCTTATAAATTCAAATCCCTAATACCAATTTCCAGAAACCTGGAGGAAATAATGAATCTTAGTTCGGATAAGGAAGGGTTGCGATTATCAGTAAACTCTCGTAAATTCTTTCCTAAAGCCTACATGGTCCTTAAAGTTGTTCGGAAGACGGGGAAGGGAGAGAAGAGGAATGAGACTAAAGAATAAAATTTCCACTGATGATTCAAAAAATCAAAACATAGTGTCAACAGCTAATAATTTTGAAAAGTTTGAGATTCCATTAAAATTAGCGCTAAATAATCCTTTAAAATCATAAAAATGTTCACTTCAAATACCTCAATATGTGTCCAAACATTCACATGTTCAGTAAACAGAGATACGTATTTTTTCTTGATTTGCGACGGCTCTGAGTACTTGAAAATGAAAAAAATCGCAGCCCTACTTGTTGAAAAGCCACCTGCACCAGGCGGCCAGCAGGTGAGCATCCAAGAAACCCGTGGAACGCGTGGACTTGCTCACGAGTGATGCTCCGCGTCGGACATGTTCTGCACGGCCGTGGCGCTGTCGAGGCCCAGCAACGTCCCGAGGTAGGACTGTTCCCGGGGATCCAGCATCTGCTCGGGTCGGACGGGGTGAACTATATTTGCAGGCTGAGGAGTCAGGGTGTATTTTTCCAGAAAAGCTAAGTCAGCTGCCCGTGGGTAGTCGGCTGCCGGTGGCTGTGGCGACAGGATGTCGTGCGAAGACGGAGGGAGGGGGGCGCTGTGCTGCCCCAGGTCGCCCGGGGCGTCCGGCATCTGCACGGGAACCAGCGTCACGGGCACGCACACCTCGGCAGACACGTCCTGGAGCATCGTCTTGGCCTCCGTCTGATAGGCTGTGGGCTGGTCCGTGTACTGTTTGGTTTCTGCCGGGAAGATCTTGTCGTCGGACGAGTACTCCGCGGGCAAGGGCACGAGCTTCTCCTCGGAGGCGCTCAGAGCGTCGTCGGGGGACTTGATGCCGTGCACGTGGTCCGTGTGGTACTTGAGCTTGTCTTTCCGCTTGAACGTGGCGTTACAGTACTGACAGTAGAAAGGCCGGGCGTCCGAATGAATGACCAGGTGCTTGGTCAAGGTTTTCTTAATTCTGAACGACTGATTGCAGATCTGACACTTGTATGGCTTTTCACCTGCATGAACAAACATCAAGTGTAAAATGCACTGGCTGGATAAGACAAAGGTTTTAAGTAGCCAATTTTCCATGCGGATCCTTACAAGAACTGAATAAAATAATGCAGTATGTTATGTGCTGCCACAACGCAGTCAGCTGGTAAAACAGGGAAAGACTTGGGTTTGAATTCTGGCTGTGCCCCTTACTAGACAACCCTTGAGCAAGCGTCCCAATTCTCAGTCGTTAGCCCCGGCCGTTGTCATTACGGCTGGCTTTCACTCTCCTCTGTTCTCACAGTGGCCTCTGTGTCCCCCCCGATTGGGGCTTCTTCATCTGGAGGGAGGCGTGATTTTGCTTGTCCCAGCAGCACGGGTCAGTCAGAAATTCTATCCTGTAATTCTTGCCTATTGAAACCACCCGAATCCGGATATTTCCCCCATTCTGGTATGTATGAACGCAATTATCGTTCTTTTCCAGAACAGCCGCCTGACAACACTCAAACCCAATATAAAACAAAGCGGCTGGCCCTAACCGGTTTGGCTCAGTGGATAGAGCGTCGGCCTGCGGACTGAAGGATCCCAGGTTCGATTCCGGTCAAGGGCATGTACCTTGGTTGCAGGCACATCCTCAGCAGGGGGTGTGCAGGAGGCAGCTGATCGATGTTTCTCTCTCATCATCGATGTTTCTGACTCTCTATCTCTCTCCCTTCTTCTCTGTAAAAAAATCAATAGAATATATTTTTAAAAAAACAAAGCTGAAAATGCATAAATGAGCCTCTTTCTCAGAGAGGAAGAGGAAGAGCACGAAAACCTCCTAACTGATATGAGACGTCAAACACAGACATCCAGGGAGGATTCCAGCATGGCCTATGTTTCACAACAGGCAGCAGCGCCCTGGGAAGAGGAGGATGTAGAACGAGGCCACTTCCGGAAAGCAGCGAAGCCAACCGTTCTACTCGGCCGCCTGTGAGTGACAGCTGACTGTGCGGAGGAAAACGACACGTGGGCACTTCCGGGCGAGGCAATGCGGCCATATTCGAATTACTTTTTCAAAGACAAGAAAATAACTGTCTTTAGAGAGTTCAGATAGAGAGGAACCATAAACAAGCAGACGAGAGGAACAGGACAGCCACGCGCTGAGTCCATTCCCGATGGGAAAGGTCTTCCCCTAATTGTACAGAAGGATGTTCACAGCATTAAAGCTTATGTCAGGGAGAATGGGAGACCGGAATACAGCTCATCGGTAACGTCAAACTTTACGTAATGAGTAACAGTCTTAATGGGGGGGGGAAACAAAACCATTTAACCGAGAACAACAAAGTTTAAATGCCTCTATTTTACTCCTGAATAATACAGAAAGGTATATATATATATATAAACTACCCATTAAGTTTTGCCTGAATGCGTCCGAAAATGCATTTCGAGACTTGATTTGCCTTTAAAAAATTTCTTACAGACATCGCATTGATGAAAGGTGGCTTTATATCTAAGAAAATAAAAAGGGTTGAGTTTTTTTCAGCGTAATTTCAATAAATAATACACCACAAATCGAAGTACAATGGTGTCAAAGACAAGCACCTGTAAGACCAAGTTGGGCGCTGAAGTGGCCACTGTCTTCGTGGAATAAAAAGAACAAAAGACAACCTACAGTTACAGACTTGAATATTTTGGCAGGTACTTCCTCAAAATTAAATGAAGTGAGCCTGTCACTTCATGGGGGGAAAACTGACAATACTGGTTGCTGATAAAATTGGAGCTTTCAAACTCATGTAAGACTTTGGGGAAACTTGCATTTGCCCTTGATCTTGGCAGGGTCCCAGCACTCCATTCTGGGACGCTGGCGGAAGTATTAGCAAACGTGACTTGTTGATCCCGTCCCGTGAAATACATTGACACTGGAAAATCCGTAACTCAGTGAGCCCGTTTTCCAAATGAAGAACACAGGATACGACAGTGTCACATAGGTACCACACCCATTCAAAGTGCAAGGCCGACCAAGAGATTACAGGCATCAGAGGATAAAACCCCAATTATCTTGTTCAGGTCCCCCCTAGCTCCTACCCTTACGAAGCTACCACTTGCTGAGTTTCAGTGTGGCTGTCATGAATAACACCCACAATTACCTAAGGAAAAGGCTATTGTAAGACTCCTCCGTTAACCAGCTGTGTATCTGAGGGAGGCTAGGTTTTCTTCATTTCCTTCAACCAAAATAATATCCGTGACAGCAGATAGGACAATCCAGCTCTGAGGCCGTGAAAGGGATTTACAAGAATGTAAAACACCACCACTCCTTTGATAGTTTTGTTTTGTGAAGAACTTATTTTTCACACAACTGCTATTTATGTGAGCATGGGATGGCCGTCTCATTACTAAATGAACTAATAAGTAAGAACTTACGTTTTTCTCATTTTAATTTCTAAGGATTCGTGTAATGTATCTCAGCTATAATACAGCATCTATGTATCATTACTAAATGAACTAATAAGAACTTACGTTTTTCTCATTTTAATTTCTAAGGATTCGTGTAATGCATCTCAACTATAATATAGCATCTATGTTGTAAGCACATAAACAAACACTCCCGGGGCACTGACCCATTTTAAGGGTATGAAGGGGTTGAGGCTCCGGAGCAGTGAGCATGCGGGCCCGGCTTCCACCCACGCGCACGGGCTGCTGAGGCTGACTTCCTTCTCCGCATGGCATCGTGGGTATTTTCACGGCCCAGCCCTTCAGAGCCTGCTGGTACCTCGTGAGCCCAGAGTACAACGACCCCTCTGAACACACTGATGCAATGAGTGGGTCGCTGAACAAGGTCAGCGAAGGTCAGCGGAGGGAGCGCCAAACCAATGCATGAAAATGAGCAAAGGATGCAATCATCTGCCTAGTGGCCCTCAGGCCCGTCTCCAGCCCCTGCCGTTATGGACGCTGAGGGCCGCACGCTCAGGACCTGTCACTAGGTGTCCGGGCACCGTGGACCACGTCTGCTGCTTCGCACTTGCTCCAAATACCGCGTCCAAGAGCAGAAACTCGTTCAACATTTTACACTCGACAACTCAGTTAAGCTTGGTTATCTAAATTGTACTAAAAAGTGGATGATCCAGACAATGCATGCCTCCTTCAAATGAAATACCATGTTAAGTGCTTAGTGTGGTTAAAAAGGTTTAAGTTCTGACCACAGACATTCCCGGTAACTGCTGTCTCATTAAGGATAATACGCAGGCAGTGTCATACACGCAAGAGCCACAGCAACCAACACACACGAATCCCCCAAAGAGCTGAGCTTTTATATGAGTCATCAAGTTCAATGTCCACCACCCCCTAGCCTCTGAACAACTTGGTACTTATGCCTTGCTCAACTCCTACAGGTCTGCAGAGAAGCTACAGCAGTGAGAGAGAGCTGGTTAGCCAACCCTATTCCCAACCCAACAGCATCAACTGAGACATCTTGTGAGTCCCCCCAACCCAGGCTGATCCGACGCGGTACTGAGAAACACTGCCTGTCCACTTACTTCTGCCACACTTTCTCTCCAAGGTGCACGCTCTTGTAATGAACAGTGAGATGATCCCTGCGGCCAAAACATTTTCCGCATTCTTCACACTGATGAGCCTTTTCACCTTAAAGACCCAAACATCTGATTATAATATGCACTTCAGTTTTTTCCCCCCAGAAATAAATTACCAAACAGGAAAATAACACGGGGAGAAATAGACCAGGAAAGTAAAGCCACCCTCAGCTGAGAGTGTAACGATCTGAAATTGATCGGCATGATTAAGGTACTCTTTTAAAAAAAATATGGGGTTTCAAAAATTCACCGTGACATGAACTTGAACACCCAGGTACAATCATTTCTCTTCAAGCGTCCATGTTCTGCTAACTTCCTTCAACTCCAATCAAAACGATAAATATTATCCTAGCATCTCCCTTTAGGGCAGTGGTTCTCAACCTGTGGGTCGCGACCCCTTTGGGGTCGAATGACCCTTTCACAGGGGTCGCCTAAGACCATCAGAAAACACATATATCATTACATATTGTTTTTGTGATTAATCACTATGCTTTAATTATGTTCAATTTGTAACAATGAAATTGGGGGTCACCACAACATGAGGAACTAACTGTATTAAAGGGTTGAGGCCTTAGGAAGCCACGAAAATAATTGTATGGTTGGGGGTCACCACCACATGAGGAACTGTATGAAAGGGTCGCAGCATTAGGAAGGTTGAGAACCACTGCTTTAGGGAGCCGTGGGCAGCCATCGCTGCATAATCCACATGATGTGCACAATGCTAATGTTGAGCATTTGATTAAAACAATTTTAAAGTATAGTTTGTAGTCATTAAAGACAACCAAGTGATTAAACTTACAGTGGGAAAAAAAATGGGTCATAAAATGATGTCCCTTTCAAATGCTGCTTAAAAAAGGTAGTTGGGACCAGCGTTCACGGAGTGGCCCTCATAGACCCAATCATTAGACTAATAGCCAACATTAACTGGCATTAAATAGCATGTACTTTTCAGGTGCTTGTTACAGAAGGGCTTCGAACAGCCTGACCAAACACACCTCACCTGAATGTATCTTTTTGTGCTTCGTCAGGTGGTCGTGGCGAATAAATGTTTTCCCACACTCGTCGCACTCGTACCTCTTGTCATCGTGATGGACTCGCAAGTGAAGTCTGTAGGGGAACAGAGTTCAAGAGCACGGGAGGCGGTGACTCTGGAGGAACAACGGGGGTGACTCCACGAGGGGGAGCGGCTGTCTGCTCCCAGCCTCATCCCTTTCCGGCTCCCTTTCTAGGACTCGGAGCCCTTCCTGGGTCCTCACTTCTTCAAACAAGCACTCAGCTCCGCCCAGGCTCCCACACGGCCGGACGACACTCCCTCCTGACCTTTCAGGTCCTCCGTCTACTTCACTAGACCTAGCACGCGCTGGACTCGTATCCCTCTGGCCAGTGAGGTCTCCGAGCAGCCAGAGGAGGAGAGAATCCAGAAGGACTGGAAGCAGACAAATGGGTAGGAGCCCAAGGGACAGACGCAGAGGGTGGCTAGTGACAGCCAGTAATTAAAGGAACCCTTTCGGAGAACAAGCAGCACTGATAAAGTGACAGTTGAGAATTGAGTGGATGTTTAAGTAATCAGCTTTCTGACAATTACATTTTACTACTGTTCTTCGTATTTAACCAGACAAAATATGGCTCATTTCGTAGTTACCCAAGGACAGATTATAAGAGGTTTAAATTCTTAAAACTAACTTAACTGCGATTATTTTTATCCTCACCGTCCTCCAACTATGTATGTCCCAGAGAAACGAACAGCTTTCTCATTCAAGTCGCCCAAACATGCTGATTCTACTGTCATTAAAACTGTAAACTGACTGAATTACCTGCAAAGGGAAGCATTCTGTTTAAACTTTGAGGTAAATAGCAAAGCCTTAAGGTTAACATCCTTCAGAGCATTAATTAAAAGTAAAACTGTACACGTATCTCCCAGTACACAGTCACCTATTCATTCAGAAAAAAAAGCAACTTTTCAGAAACTGCAAATGTGGTCAAGGATTCAGTTGCAGAAATAATTACATGAATTTCAAATAATGAAGACTTTCAAAAACTGAGAATCCTGGAGTTTTCCATTTTGCCGTATTTTCATACCGAACTATTCTTGGACAATCGAGAGTGAAGAAATACACTAAGTTTGCAACACCAGAGTTATCATGAATTTTGATTCAAAGAAAAGTCATGAAATAAATCTTTAAACGATGACAATTCCGACAGTAAAGCATCCGGCAGATCTGGTGATGAGGAAACGTTTAAAAATATTTTATAGCACAGAATGAAGACGACATTGGAAGTTGGAGGGGAAGTCTACACGTTTTTTGCACACCTTTGCTTGTGACAAGTACTAAGAAATGTTTTCATTCAACACACAACTAAGCCACTGGTAAGAAAACAGAAGTAAAATGCAGACGTAATTCCCGCTCACGTACCAGGAAGAAAAGGGCTGGCTCACCTGTACGAGCTGCCGTGACGGAACCGCTGCCCACAGATGCTGCAGAGATGAGGCTTCTCCCCGCTGTGGATCCGCATGTGCTCCTTCAACGTGGTTCTACGTTAAAAAACACACGTTTAAACCAAAGATTTACTGAATGCCAACATGTACACGAAACAGACGCCCAGCAGGCTCACTAGAAACGTGTTCAAGCAAACACTCTTCTTCTAGGACCACTCTCCCCTGCACACACAGCTGTCTCTCTCCTCTGACAAAACCAAAAAGGACAAAATCTGAACGCTGGCCCCCTTTGCCACTGGTTTGCTCATGGCTTAACTATCTATCTATCTAACTATCTTACACAAAACCTGGAGGAGAATAAAGAGAAGATACGTAATTGAGACTGCTGAGTCGGGGAATTGTTTTCTCATCTGCCTGGAAGATCAAACCCATAAGCCAGGATGTCCGCGGGATCAGGCCCGGGGCTCAGTGCTTTCAGGAGTCAGAACGCGTCAACCCTGCACTGCGCACTGGGAGGGGGGGTGCCCGCAGCCATCTTACACAAAACTTGGAGGAGAATAAAGAGAAGATACGTAATTGAGACTGCTGAGTCGGGGAATTGTTTTCTCATCTGCCTGGAAGATCAAACCCATAAGCCAGGATGTCCGCGGGATCAGGCCCGGGGCTCAGTGCTTTCAGGAGTCAGAACGCGTCAACCCTGCACTGCGCACTGGGAGGGGGGGTGCCCGCAGCCATGGCCCGAGTGGGGGTGGAAGGATCCAATGACCTCCCTTCTCAAGCACCTTTACCTCAGGCCCCCTTTTCTGCCTCTCCTTCCCGCTGGCTCCAGGGGGACCCCCCGCTGCTAGTCCTTGTGCCTTCTGTGGGTTCTGTGATGCCTCCTTCGGCCCGAGACCTGTCAGGTACCACTGACCCACTGGCTTCCTAGATGTAAACCTGTGTTGCTCTTGTTACCTTGCTCCTCGGTCTCTAGCTGACTGTCTTTAAGATAAATAAATAAGTGGATAAATGTTAATGTATTTCTAGTGGGGTTCCAGAAAAAGGCAAAGTGGTACCTACATTACATTCACTATCTAAACTCACAAATCCTGGCTTTACGGCGTCGTCTATAGCAGCGGTTCTCAACCTGTGGGTCGCGACCCCTTTGGCGGTCGAACGACCCTTTAACAGGGGTCGCCTAAGACCATCCTGCATATCAGATATTTACATGCCGATTCATAACAGTAGCAACATGACAGTTATGAAGTAGCAACGAAAATAATTTTACGGTTGGGTCACAACATGAGGAACTGTATTGAAAGGGCCAGAAGGTTGAGAACCACTGGTCTATAGCATTTTACAAAATTTGTGTTTTACCTTTAGCCCTGACGTTAAAGCATAACTCAAGCACGCTGTGTCCTGCGTTTCTCTAGTCCTCACACACGACAGGTCTCATTTCCACACCCGGCACCGGGGCGCTCCTGCGTGTGTGTGGGCCCCTCACCTCTCTCGCACGGACTTCCCACAGATGAAGCAGGTCCACTTTCTCTTCCCGCCGTGCGTGCACTCTATGTGGCGCTTCAGGTTCCCCGTGTCATTGAACTGGCGGCCGCAGATGTCACACGGAAAGGGACCTGGAAGGGAAAGAATAAGGTAAGTCCAGGCTGAGGAGGAGAAACTAAGTTCAACTTCCCTGGTGTGTGCGCGACCAGAGAGGCTGCGGGCGACCTGGAACCTACTACCTGTGATGGGCATCTGAAGGGGGAGGGCAGTCCGGAGGGTGGAGCCCCTCACCCGTGGGATCTGACACCGTCTCCAGCCAGCGTGCCGGCACCGAGTTCACCTGTGGGACAGCCAGCTGGTGTCAGGGACCCACCTACTGGTGTGGGGAGAGCCCCACACACATCTGGTCACCAGAGGCTTCGGAAATGAAGGGTTTTGTGTGAACAGCAAAGGAGACTCGAGGGGAAGGAGGAAGACACAGTGGGTACGAACTGGGTTTCCCCTCCACACTGGGCTTTCCCCTTTACAGTATGTAACAAATGGATGCCCACTCTCACTAGTGCATATGTCACGACACAATGCAATCATTTATTTACAGTTTTCTCTTCTCTTCCCAGAAGGCAGATTTATAATCCTGTCTATCTTCCTGGAACTGAAGACCCCTCTATTCCCAATGGAAGCTGTTTTTCCCAGAACTAACACCTAAAGAAACTTCTCACATGCAACACGCAGTCATGAACGTGCCTTCAACCACGGTTCTTACATTACACATATCGTAATAGTATGGAATCCATGCAACAGTAATTACAAAACCTGTTTCCATATGACGGCTTCTTAGACATGCTGAGATGAAATACTATGCTAGAACAACTTACTAAATGCAGAGAAGTCTAAGCAAAAAAAAACAAAAATAAGCCCCCAGCAGACACTAGTGCTATATACTAGAATTGCAAAGCTGAAGTATTCCTGACCACACAATGGAGGCTTCAGAATATTGGGAGGTAGATGGTCAATCTCTCTTCCCAGACAAAATATCTCCCTACTTCCAAAAGCGTTTTAAGTCCTTCAAACATTTTAGTCCATGAAATAACTGTACGACCCTAGGTCACCATGGTCACCCACCTCTAGAATATGTATTTGTCAATTTCCATCTTGAATGTGGTATCGAGAAATGCCATGTTCCAGATGAAGTTAAAATCGGTGAGACGACTACCTCCTAATTTTGAACAATATATTTTTATTAATATAGTTCAAAGCTACACTGGTTTCTGTCAAGTCCTATGACACCGGTTCGGATTGTGCCTTGACAGTCTCTGCTATTGATCCCAGCTATAAAACAAGAGTTGGGATTTGGACCATTTTACAGTGTCCCCACGACCAAAAGTCAGGTCATCCCCATGCCTACGACTCTGCATTTATTCTTAAATAAATGTAACTTAATTTGTTTTAACCTTTTGTCCAGTAGTTTTCTTTTGACATTTTTATTTTCTACTGTATTTATCACCCCTCCCAGCTTCACGTTAGCTACACATTTCCTGAGCACGAGGCACGTATCTGCATCCAAGTTGTCAATGGGAACGCTGAACAGGAAAAGCCTACACCTGGCATGACAATACTCATCACCGGGGTTAACTATGGTGACTGCGCCTCACCGCACGACCAGCAGGACCACAGTCCCCACTGTGCCCACACGCTCTGGGGAGAGACTTCACCCAACGCAATACTGAATTCCAAGCAGACGAAGTTTATTGCCCTCCCTGAAAAATGAGTTTTTTCCAACACAAAGAAGCCGTATCCCAACCACTCCCAAAGCTATCCAACTGTCAACGGTGAGTAAATGCCATTTAGAACCATGGAAAAATCGGCCACCGAAACAATAAACAGACATATTTCCTGGTCTCCAGGAACTGCAGGACACGCAGCTCCCCTCCCGATCCACACGACTCCTCCTCCTCCTCCAAGTAAATGCCATTTAGAACCACGGAAAAATCGGCCACCGAAACAATAAACAGACGTTATTTCCTGGTCTCCAGGAACTGCAGGACACGCAGCGCCCCTCCCGATCCACACGACTCCTCCTCCTCCTCCCCCTCCTCCCCCTCCTCGGGGGTGTGACAGCAGCAGGCCCCCCGCACGCTGTGTCACCAACCGCTGCCACTGCTTCTGGAAGAAGCCATCTGCTCACCCAGATGGAACTTTTCCTGATGCTTTAACCGGGCGAACCGTGACTTGAAATGCTCTTCGCAGTAGGTGCACTTGAAGGGCTTGTCCTGGGAGTGCAGGATCATGTGTTCCTCCAAGTGAGGCCTCCGAGTGAAATATTTCTTGCAAATCTAAAAGAACGTGCACACAAGATGTAAGGGGACCCAAATTGGAAATTAAAATACAAATCTCGTGATGAGGAATAAACCCACAAATTCAAGTAGATTTAAAAAAAAAAATGTGCTGAGAGTGCTGCTCCGGGGCCTAAAAAGGCCTCTAGTTTTGGCCGAGGCTTCTTGGATCCTAGCCGCCATGCCAGAAGGAAGCTCAAGTAGCCCCACCAAGAGACCAAAGCAGAGAAGACGCCCAACACCAAGTTGCCAGCGCTGTGAGTGAGCCACTTTGGAAGTGCCCCAGACCAGACCAGATCACACCACCCACTGGCTGCAAAGGACTAAGTGACGTCAGCTGAAACCACGTGGAACAGAAGAATCACCTTGCAACGTCCTGCCCCAGAAAATGACTGTTTAAGGCCACTAGGCCTTGAGGTGGCTTGTTATGTAGCAACAGATAATCAGAAATGGAGGGGAAGTTCTAACATTTGATATGCACGGGCGATAGTAGTGTCACAGTTTACACACACAACTTCAAGTTCAAGGCATGGTGATCACAGTAAAATAAAGCCAGGACTGTATCTGTCAGGTTCATCACCAGCCTTAATTTATCAAACGCAGGATGTCATAGCTAAAAGGCAGATCTAAAAGGCAGCTACGCTACGTTTGTGTTACGTGCAAGTCTGATTACTTTCCCCAAAGGTACCATGGCATTTAGCTTTGTTTTCTAATACAAATGAAAAGCTAGTACCTCACATTTCCAACTTTCACTCTTGGTCTTCCTAATGGAAATAAACTCTTGTGCATTTTCAGGATGAAATCTGGAAGAGAAAAAGAAAAGAATGATTGAGAAGAGATTGTATTAGTTAAATCAACATTCCATATAACCTGTGGACAGTGATTACAAGAATCAGACAGATTCCTTTCTTACACAGACAGACACACATGAGTATGTTAAGAATATACATGTCACTTCATGAAGTGAATGCATATGCCTAAATTTATGCAGATGTTGTCAAAAAGTCTAGACCAGCCGTGGGCAAACTACGGCCCGCAGGCCGGATCCGGCCCGTTTGAAATGAATAAAACTAAAAAAAAAAAAGACCGTACCCTTTTATGTAATGATGTTTACTTTGAATTTATATTAGTTCACACAAACACTCCATCCATGCTTTTGTTCCGGCCCTCTGGTCCAGTTTAAGAACCCATTGTGGCCCTCGAGTCAAAAAGTTTGCCCACCCCTGGTCTAGACAGACTTTAAATACATTCAGGGACCTAGTTATTCAGAGATAATCTTCAAGGTGATTCACTTAATTTTTGTGGGCTTTTTTGGCCAGATTTCAGTAAATTTAACATCTTATGAGTTAAATATTCTCTCTCACAAATTCTTTATCAACTAAAGACAAAGTTGAGCACGAGGAATAAGCTTCCTAGGGCTCTAAAACCCTCCCTAGAGTTCTAAAACCGTATTATTTTGAAAACAAACTTGCCCAAACTCAAGGCAGAAAACAAGATAACTAAATGCTGTATCTGAAATGTCTACAGTCTAGACGAAGGAGCGCGTTTTGTCAAAAACCTTCATCTCAACAGCCTGAACAAAAAATGTCAACAAACCAACACTCGCTGCTCTTAATCAGTCTACAGTCTGCAAAATGCGAAGCTAGGACAGCACTGGGGACAAGTCCCCCCTCCGCAGACGCTCCCAGCGACCCGCGTGTGTAAGCCGGAGGGCACGGTGAGTGTGTGACGGAAGCAGGGCCATACTTGCCTCTTCACGTGCTTGGCGAGCGTCTTCCTGCTGGCGTGGAGTTTGTTACAATAAGGGCACTTGTGCTCCTTCTTATGAAAGTCGGTTTCGCTGCCGTGCTTCCTCCTGTGAACAGCCAGGTTATACTTTGTCGAATAGCGCTGGTGACAAATATCACACTCAAAGGGCTTCTCACCTGTGTGAACACGTGTGTGGCTCTCGTATTTCCCTGGGAAGAGAGAGACAGCAACATTAAACTCAGGACCTTCACCACAGTGACTAGAATTTGACAGTGGGGGGGGGGGGGGGGACACCTCATGACTCATAGCCTAGTTAATACACCGACCCACACCCACACCCACACCTAAAGGAAGTTTACCTAAACTTGTAACTTTGATAAGCCTCAGCGACTTATTGTTTTGAGCTGACTGTTCAAGACACCTTCCCTCGAAAACCTGGGCCACCTCCTCCCCTGTGTACTAGGGCTGAGTCTGAACGCAGGCCTTTACTGCGAGACAGGTGAGCTGGAGGGTCCCAAGGTAAAACCCGGGATGACTGTTCTCCGACATCACAAGTAACGAGTAGGTTTTATCAAACCAGAATGAAGCTACGTTGCGCTTTAGATCAGCGCTCCACCATTCCTCGGGCTGTGAGTAGGGCTGGGGGTGGAGGGAAGGGACAGAACGAGGGAGAAAATATCAAAGTGCGTTCACACTAGCTGGCCTGTCAGAGACACGCAACCACACTCGATTAATGAACAAGAGCAGCTCGCATTCCTCGAACACCTTCTACGTGTCATCCGTTGTAAGCAATTCCATCCTCATAGTCACCCCAGAAGGTACCGTTAGCATCTACCCCACTCTACGTACAAAGGACAGAAGGTGAAGGAACTTGCCCAAGATCTGGGTTCAAAAATGCAGGCAGCGGGACATCCCCCACAGCCCATGCTTTTTTAACTGGTATGTTATAATATCAACTGCCATCTCTAAGTTCTGGGGGAGAGAACACAGCCCCAATGAGGCTAAGGGGGGAGGAGGGGTGTGGAATGAGAGGGAGGGGTAATGTAAAATACACTCCGAAAGGTAGGCTGGAAATAGGCCTGCAATGGGACCCATTTATTCCCACAATGACCTGCGCGGCCCTTGGATTAAAAAGCTGCCAAAAGCTAATCTATCAGGACCTTCATCTTGAACAGTATTTTCCCAAATGATGTGCAGGGAACTTTCATCTCTTGGGGCAGGGAAAGAAGTACACCCCAAAAGTGTCTTGTGATAAAATTACTGCAGGAAATGCCAGGTTATGTAGAGTGAACAGGTTTCTTCGCAGGGACTTTGACAGGTAACACAGAGGGGGAATTACAGCACCGGCCTCCCAACCTAACGTCCACGCAGAACTCCTCTCGGAAGCATCTCACAGTCTGAGGCCTGCGTGCTGGGCTCGCAAGGCCATTTGTGACCCGACTCCCTGCTCACTCCTCTCGAGTCAAATTAGGACAAATGAAGGCAGAACACGGGAGGCATGAGCGAAGAATCCAAAGCCTAAGAAATAAAATCTACTGGAAAGATGACATGTTCTCGGGTCTCTCCATGCAAAGATGTCGTTCTCTCCCCTGCACCCCGCACAGCATTCGTCGAGAGCTCTGCAGGAGCGACTATCCAGCCTGAGTCAACTAGCTCACCTGTATTTCTGTGCTCTTCCCACTGGGTTACTCAGGAAAAGTTATATTATTCGTGTTTGTACAGAGCCGCACAGTAAAAATCGAGATAAATTATTAAACTGGGCTGTCAAAAGCATTCTCATTCGGAGTGACGAATATTCAGAGGCATGATAAAACGCAAAAAGATGTCGGCGCTGCTGTGCCAACAGTACACTGTCGCCTATTTGGAGAGGAAATGATTACCAATCCCTTATAAAACCAATTTCCAGTACTCAACCCTGCCACACACACGGGGAGAGATTAAACTGAGTAATTTTACAAAGTCGGGTTGCACTCACATGTTCCTTTTACCGTTTTATGTGGTAGACTACATTTCACAATTTCATAACTTTGAATTATATGGAAAATATCAATTGTTGCAATTTAGAAGTCCACATTAGAAAAGTTCATATAAGAGGGCTTCAAAACTTATTGTACTAGCAAATATGAGATATCTTAAATACTCACTGACATATTTTTAACTTAAGCAGATAGACCACATTTCCTACAGAGACTTTTCTAATAAGGGAAAAGGTGACGTATTCATTATTACGACAACCAAAGAATCTACTAATTAGGGCACTTCCTAAAGGCTTGTCCGACAAAATTAAATCGCAATCAGTACAGCTTTACTCTCAACTATATAACAGTCTAGTCCGAAACCTCCCGACTCTAAACAATGCCCAACACTGGAAAAGTGATGTTTCTAACTCACATGTTACCAAGTCCAAGAGGAAATAGTTCACGCATTATTGAATTAAATCTAATATGACCTAATTCAATTTTCTATGACGCAAAAATAGCACTTATCTATGAAATCGAATTAGCATATAAATCAAATCTCTACATTCACCATAACTGATGCTCTGGAGATTCTCAAACCAAATACTTGAACCAATCACCTGCCGCCTACTGTCAGGACACGAGGAAGAGACAATAACGCCTTATGAATACTTAATTCCTGAATCACGACAAATTTAAACGAGCAGGATAAAATATGTACTGGAAACCAAACACCCACCCTAGTGAAGTATTCGTTTTAAAATTGACTTTCCAGCCCTAACCGGTGTGGCTCAGTGGATAGCGCGTCGGCCTGTGGACTGAAGGGTCCCGGGTTCGATTCCGGTCAAGGGCATGTACCTTGGTTGCGGGCACATCCCCAGTAGGGGGCGTGCAGGAGGCAGCTGATCGATGTTTCTCTCTCGTGGATGTTTCTAACTCTCTATCCTTCTCCCTTCTTCTCTGTAAAAAATCAATAAAATGTATATTTAAAAAAAAAAAGAAAATATTAAAAAAATAATAAAATTGACTTTCCAAGTCCAGTTTTTAATCATGGCCTTCAAAACACCCCTGAAAACTAAGTTATTAGAGACAGAAGGGCGACACGCTCTCTCTTCTTACCTATCCGGTCGAAGGTTTTATCGCATATGGGGCACTGCAGGATTTTTTTGTTATTTATCTGAATGATGACGGGAGATAACCCGTCGTGAATACTTCCTGCAGAATCGCCGGTCTCGGGTTCTTCTTCCTCTTCCTCCTCCTCTTCTTCCTCCTCCTCCTCCTCCTCTTCCTCCTCCTCCTCCGCACCATTCGGCTCCTTGTCACTTGGCTCTTCGGTGTCCGAGAACTCATCGGACATCTCCTCCTCTAGCTCATCTTCCTCAGCGTTACCTTCGCTTCCCGGATCCTCGGAATCGTTCCTATCGGGCTTCCCCTTCTCGAAACGGTCTCGGTTCAAGCTGTCTGACCCGTCGCCACCTTCTCGTTTGGCATCGCCAGCGGCGGCGTCTTCGAACTTCACGGGGCACCTCCGGTTCCTCTTGGACCTCCTGGCGGAAAACCCTCTGTCCAGCATGTTTAGCCCATGTTTTTTCCCCAAGAAGCGGGACCTGTGCGTCTTGGCCAAATGGTTCTCCAAGGACTTCTTGTAGCAAAAGTGTCTGCTGCAGAAGGTGCACCGATGGTCATCCGACAGCCGCCCGCCGGTCAACCCGCTCAGCGACTCCTCCGGGGGCGGCTGCTCCAGGCGCTGGGGCTGGAACGGGGGGTGGACGCCTTCACTGTTGAGCAGCTTGACCGCATCGATGATGTCCAGGAACTTGGCGGCCTCGAGGACCAGGGGGATCTCGTACTGGGACACGAAGAACTCCGCCGTGTAGAGGAACTCCAGCAGGTGCCGGAAGACGGAGTGGGGGACGTGGTCCAGGATGACCACGTCCGTGCTGGGGTTCTTGCTCAGGCACGCGTGGAAGTAGCTGCTGCCCACGGCCACCACCACCTTGTGGGCGCTGAACTCCTTCCCTTCCACGATGATGAGCAGGTCGCAGAAGGACGGCTGCTTCTGCCGGTCGGCGTTCAGGTAGGTGAGCAGATTCCGGCGGTACTGCCAGGAGCTCAGGAGCTTCCTCTGATCGGGAGCGGCGGCGGGAGGAGGCGGTCCTGGCGGCGGCGGTGGTGATGGGGGCAGGTCCCGGTAGCA